CATCAGCATCATCATCAGCATCAGCATCAGTATCATCATGAGCAGCATCATCAGCAGCAGCATCACTATACTCCTCGTCCTCCTCCTCATCATCATGAGCAGCATCCTTGCAATCGCCATCACCATAACCATCATCATCGTCATCATCAGCATCGTCGTCATCAGCATCATCACCATCACCACCACCACAACGGTCATCACCATCATCGTCAGCATCATCATCCTCGTCATCGTCCTCGCCATCGTCATCGTCATCATGTTCATCATCGTCATCATGTTCATCAGCATCAGCATCGTTATCAGCATCATCAGCATCGTCATCAGCAGCAGCAGCAGAAGGATCATTAGCATTATTATCATCAGAATCAGCATCATCATCAGCATCAGCATCAGCATCCTCATCGTCAACATCATCATCATAATCAGCAGAATCAGCATCAGTATCATCATCATCATCATCATCATCATCATCATCATCATCATCATCATCATCATCAGCATCATCAGCAGCAGCATAATCATCAGCATCAGCAGCATCATCATCAGCAGCAGCAGCATAATCAGCATCATCATTGTAAGCATCATTTCCTCCTCCATTCTGATCCTCCTGAGCATCACCCCCCCATCCCCCATCGTTCGCCTCCTCCTACTCATCCTCGTTCATCCTCGCTCCTCGCCCCTCCTCGCTCCTCACTCCTCCTCATCCACCTCCTCCTCCTTCTCCTCCTCCTCCTCCTCCTCCTTGCTCCTCCTCCTCCTCCTCACCCTCCTCACCAGCGTTCTCCTCCTCGTCCTCCACATCCTCCTCGCACTTCCTCTCAAGCACCGGCTCGAGGCTTGGGCGTAGCATGTTTGCTCTCGGATGGGGCCTCAGCAAGTCTGGGCCCTGCGCCGTTATGGAGCGCTTGTGGGGCGACGTGGCAGCCGCACGCAGCACCGAAGCTTTTCGCGTCGGCGGAGCAGGGCGAATGTGGGCGGGTGCGAGCTCGGCCTGGCACTGCAGCTTCATCTGTCAGACTTGGGATGTGTTCGCTGGGGGCCTTCTTCCACCAGCCCTTCTTTGCGTGGCAGTCTCACGGTGCTGTTCCTGCTACGCCTCCCCATGGCCCTCGGGCTTCTGTGGATGCCGTGTCGGGGAGGAGCCTGGGGTACCCAGTGAGTGCGTTCTGAGGTTTCTGATGCTGACTTGTCACACAAGCTGGGTATGTACTCCGAACCTTTGTGTGCAATCGCTGGAGCTTTCTTCAGTCAAGTATTCCTTTTATTTATCCTAGCAATCAATGTTAGTGCGGTTTCGTTCCTTCTTCCCCATGGCTTTCGGGTTCCTATTACACCGTGCCCGGCTGGAGTGCCCAGGGCTGCTTGGATACGTTCTGGTCGGCGGTTGTTCGTGTTCACTTGGAGTTCAACCACACAGTCCTCGTTTGCTTGAACATGGCTCAATGGATTGTTCGTCTGATTACCGTGCAAGGTGTCATGTTCGTACATTCAGCTTTGTGCGTTTCGCGCTCTTTGGTGGATTAGGAGGTGTTTTCTGCGATGTGGATGTGGCACGCGGTCTCCGCACATGCCTAGGCTTTATGCGTGGGCTTCATCTTCCTCGTTATACCAGTCGCTCCGCGTTCCTCACATAGTTCACCTCGCAAGTATCCACTCTTTGTGGCTTGGCTTGGGAGGAGTGGACCTCTTCATGATGGAGGTACTCACTTGTCGGTATCACGTTGTTTTCGTCGCGCTCCATAAGCTTCCCGGCTGGCTCCACGGGTGGGCCTCCTGTTCTTCGTCGCCGCGGTGCTCATCGAGCTAAGGAGGTGGCATGCTCTTTTATGTCACTCTCGTCATGGCGGTGATACTGGTCATTCCCGTCGCTCTTCCTCGCTCATCCTCGTCCTCCTCCTCTGGACCCGTCCAGATCTCCTGCCTCTTCCTCCTCCTCCGCCTCCTCCTCCCTCCTCCAACTCCTCCTCCTCCCCGTCCTCCACCTCCTCCTCCTCCTCCTCCTCCTCCTCCTGCTCCTCGCAGAAGCTCTTTCTTGCGCGTGCTGTCGCCAAGGGGCGAGGGCGCCGAGGCCCTCCTCCAAGTGTCACTGCGCACGCGATCACACAGACGGAGATGGCGATGATGGGCATCTTCGTATTCGCCATAACCGAGTCAATCGTCAGCATCCTACAAATCATCACCACCATCATCACCATCATCGCCACCATCATCCTCATCATCATCAGCGGCATCATCATCATCATCATCATCATCATCATCATCATCATCATCATCATCATCATCATCATCATCATCATCATCATCATCATCATCAATCATCATCATCATCATCATCATCATTCATCATCATCATCATCATCATCAGCATCATCATCATCATCATCATCATCATCATCATCATCAGCATCATCATCATCATCATCATCATCATCATCATCATCATCATCATCATCATCATCATCATCATCATCATCATAAGCATCATCAGCATCATCAGCAGCATCATCAGCATCATCATCATCATCGACCGCATCAGCATCGTCAACAACAACAACCATATCAGCATCAACATCAACATCAACATCATCATCGTCATTATCACCACCAGAATCGTCATCATCACATGCAGCATCATCGACGTCATCAGCATCATCACCATCATCATCAGCATCATCATCATCACCACCACCATCATCATCATCATCATCATCAGCAGCATCATCATCATCACCAGTATCGTCAGATTCAGCATCATCAGCAGCATCAGCAGCAGCATAATCACAAGCATATCATCATCAGCAGCATCATCGCCATCATCATCATCAACAACAGCATCACCATCATCATCATGATAATCAGATTCACCATCATCATCGCCACCGTCATGATCATCAGCATCAACATCATCATCATCATCATCATCATCATCATCATCATCATCATCATCAGAATCCGCATACTCATCATCAATGTTATCATCATCATCGTCGTCATGATCGTCTGCATCAACATCAGCATATTGATCATAGTCATCGTGATTGTCCACATTATCATCATCATCATGATCACCATCAGCATGATCACCAGAATCATCACCACCATCCTCATCACCGTCAGCAGCATCATTATCCGCAGCGGCAGCGGCATAACCCTCATCACCAGCAGCAACATCATCATCATCACCATCATCAACAGCATCAGCAGCCTCATCAGCAGTATCATAATCGTCGTCAGAACCATCATCCTAATCCCCAGCAGCATCATAATCATTGTTGCCCTCACCGTTTTCATCGTCATCAGCATACACAGCAATATCATAATCATCCTCATTACCAACATCATTATCATCATCGTAATCACCATCATCATTTTCACCAGCATCATCAGCATCACTATCAGCATCATCAGCATCAGCATCATCATCAGCATCATCACCCGCATCATCATCGTCGTCATCATTATCAGAATCATAATCATAATCAGCATCAGTATTGCAGTCATCATCATCAGCATCGTCGTGGTTGGTATCATCGTCATCACAATCACCATCTTACTCATCATCAACATCATCACCATCATCCTCAATATAGTCATCGGCATTGTCGTCATCGTCATCATCGTCATCGTCACCATCATCCTCACCATAATCATCATCAACATGAGCACCACCATCAGCATAATCGTAATCGTCATCGTTGTCGTCATTACCATCGTCGGCATCGGCATCGTCATGGTAGTCATCATCGGTATGGGCACCACCGTTATCGTCACGGTCAGCGTCGTCAGTGTAGTGACCATCGTCGGTTGTCATATGTGTCAGTATCGTCATCGTTCTTATCACCAACAGCAGTATTGCAGAATCACCGTCGTCATGATTAACACTGTCGTTGTCAGCATGATGGCGGCCATCATAACAATCATCGTCGGCGTCGTCATCGTCGACGTCGTCGGCATTACCATCATCATCGACATCGTCACCATCAATCATTATCAAACTGGTCACCACCGTCGCTGCAGCCGCCATCATCACCACCACCATCGCCACCGTCGTCACCGTCCTCCTCCTCCTCCTCCTCTGATTCACCACGCCTGCATTCGTCGTCGCCACCGCCAGCATCATCTGCGAGGCGGGAAGAATTGTTCCATGTCCACCGCCTGGGAACTGACGCCCTGGTGCCCCAGCGGGCGGTGGATGTGGATAGACGTTGGCCCCCGAGGGCCTCAATGTATCCACATCCACCGCCCGTGGAATAGAAGAAGGAAAAACATCTAGATATAAACTTCTGGCGCTCCACGCGGATTTCTTGGATCTGCGCTGGACCCCCATCCCTGACTCGCGGAGCGCGTCAAGGGCAGCGCCAGAGGCGCCGCCAGGGGGGTCCAATGCGGATCCAAGAAACCCGCGCGGAGCGCCAAAAATTTATGCTCGATGGAAGTCCGCGAGGATCGATCCCCCAGGCAGTGGCTATGGATAAAACCCCGCCTCGCACCGCCGGCGCCAGCAGCACCACCACAACTGTGAAGTCGGGCGTGTCCCCCTACAGGGGGATTTTCGACGAAAAATGAAGAATAATCCAAAAATTGTCAGAAGATGCCAAAAAATACTCAAAAGATAGTCCCCCGACAATTTTTTGCGGCCGCCCCGTGCCAGGGCGGAGGCGGCGGGGGTGGAGGCGGTGGACCTGTGGCGGTATACCCTCCTCCCCTCCTCCTCGATCCTCCTCCTCCTCCTCCACCCTCCTCCTCCTTTTCCTCCTCCTCCTCGGTCCTCATCCTGCTCCTCCTCCTCAGTCCTCCTCCTCCTCCTTCCTCGATCCTCCTCCTCCTCCTCCCTTTCCTCCTCCTCCTCCTCCTCCTCCTCCTCCTCCTCCTCCTCCTCCTCCGTCCTCCTCCTCCTCCCTCCTCCTCCTCCTCCTCATCCTCCATCTCCTCCTCCTCCCTCCTCCTCCTTTCCTCCTCCTCCTCCTCCTCCTCCTCCTCCTCCCTCCTCCTCCTCCTCCTCCTCCATTCCTTTTCCTTCTAAATAACTTCTCCTACCCCGAGGCCAGCTTTTAGGGCGGGCCGGGCGTTTCGCGTAAGATTTCCTCACCATTTCTGACTCTGAAGCTAAAAAATTGACAACAGCTCCACAGATGGAGGGCGGGTCGTTTACAAAATGTGGCTCTCGCATTAGCGCAGCGCACAATCGTTCTAAAAATGTGCAAGAGCTTCACGGATTGAGGACAACCCGTTTCGAAAATGTGGCTCTCGCATTGGCGCCGCGCACATTTATTCTAGAAATGTGCAAGGCTTCACGGATTGAGGATCACTCGTTTTCAAAGTGTGGCTCTCGCCTTAGCGCCGCGCATACTCGTTCATAAATTTGCAAGAGGTTCACGAATTCCCACGATCAACGTACCTGCAATAGCGTTTTGGAAGGATTCAAGATTTTGCGGGTGCAACAATTACGTTTATTGACGGTGTTGAGATCCCAAGAAAGGCTATCTGGCACGATCCAGGATCCTCAAGACGCAACATTCAGGTTGATCCGTTGCGTTGGAATCCAAAAAACAATGTTTTGGCATGCTTCCGGGTCTTCAAACCGTTGTCTTCCAACGAGGCAGATCCCTCAGTGGAAATGAACCGTTGTAGGGGCCTGTGAAGAGGGAGCATGGAGGAAGGGTGTATTCCAGCATCGTTGCTGGCTCTTGGGTTTACACTGCTCCTCCTCCTCCTCCTCCTCCTCCTCCTCCTCCTCCTCCTCCTCCTCCTCCTCCTTTCCTCCTCCTCCTCCTCCTCCTCCTCCTCCTCCTCCTCCTCCTCCTCCTTTCCTCCACCTCCTCCACCTCCTCCTCCTCCTCCTCCTTCCTGCTCCTCCTCCTCCTCCTCCTCCTCCTCCCTTCCTCCTCGGTCCTCCTCCTCCTCCTCCTCCCTTCCTCCTCGATCCTCCTCCTCCCTTCCTCCTCGATCCTCCTCCTTCTCGATCCTCCTCCTCCTCCTCCCCCTCCTCCTCCACCTCCTCCTTTTCCGCGGCCGCGGGTCGGGATTTCTGGGGGCCGCACCCAGCCAAAATCCGTGCGCCGGAGCTCCGGGAGTGGCTCCCGGCACGGGGGCACGCCGCTCGCCGTGCCGAGGCGCGCAGGGTCGCCCGCCCGCCCGCCGCCGTGCGTCTGCGGCGGGCGTCGGGTGCCTCGTGCTGGTCCTCGGCCTCGGCGGCCAGGTCAGTTCCCCCGCCTGCTCGCGGGGCAGCGGAGCGAGGCTTTGACCTTCTGATCTTCTGCTCCGCCTGAGCGCCGCGACTGCTCTTGACGTGTGGGGTCGCCGACGCAGGACTGAGGAGCTCGGGAGTATCACAGTCGCTTTGGGTTGTCAGGGAAGAGAACAAGGCACGTCCGCGCGGATTTCTTGGATCGGCGACGGATTTCCCTCCCTGGCGCGCGCAGGGCGCCGACCCAGAAAATCCGTGCGGACCTCTGAAATGTTGGGTGTATACACTTGTTTTTCCTCGTTTGATGTCTGCCCTGGGAAAAGCAATGATGTGAAGCGCGCAGCACCGTGAGGCGGAGAGCGCCGTGACTGCTCTCGACGCGACTGCTCTGAAGCGCCGTGACTGCCCCTGACGTGGCGTCGTCGACGCAAGACATTTGCGTTCCAGAATTACTTGATTTGGACGTCTGTCGTGGACTCGGGAAGTGGAGCGATACACTTGTACGCATACTGACTGCTCCTGACGTGGACAGAAACATCGTCATCCGCATCATCATCATCATCATCATCATCATCATCATCAGCATCATCATCATCATCATCATCATCATCATCATCATCATCATCATCATCATCATCATCATCATCATCAGCATTATCATCATCAGCATCATCAGCATCAGCATCAGCATCATCATCATCATCATCATCATCATCATCAGCATCAGCATCAGCATCAGCATCAGCATCAGC